TCACCTCCCCTCCCGTCCCTCCCCTCCCTTCCACTCGTTCCAGTAGACATGTTCTTTTTCCTACCAACTTGCTAAACTTTGTTGTTTAACCTTTTTGTACATACTCTTTTGTCGAGCGTTTGTAACCCACCAACGCCCTGGTAGGGGAGTTATGTGGGCCCTTAGCCCGACCTGTACGTTGTTTAAATTTACTAAAATTATTTATTTTTGTTTTAACGCAAGCCGCTCGAAAATACACATTCGATTATTACGGCATGCAGATTTCTCATCGCTCTTTGCGTACCCCACCTCACCTCTCACAATATTCCAACCTCACCAGCCGCTGTTTTCTTTGCTCTTCAACGACACCATTCTCTGATGATCCTTTCCGGGCTCAAGAGCAACTAACGGCGACTTACAAAGGAGATTTCTCTCGACTCTCCCGATTTCAACTCGAACTGAGATCCAGGCCTTCACGGACCCCTCCTTTGGCAATTCAATCTCTTGGCTACTGCTGACAAGGATCGTGGATGATCTAAGTGAGTCGTATCATTCTTAATTTTCATTGCCATTCTTGTATACAGTTTTTACACCCTTTTTCAACTAGTGTAGTCTGGTAGATTAGTCCCTAGCAGTTAGTTCTACACTAGAAAGTTTTTCGTTGCATTTTTACTAAGACGTTTAATAAATTTGTAGAGATTAAGTCGCTACAAGCCCGTTGCCTAAAGGTAAGCTCCCACTGATCTTTCTTTCTTTGCTAAACTCTTTAATGGCTTCCTGCAACTCCATAAATGACTGGAAGTGTCGACCACAGAGAACCTCACGGAATTTCGCATCAGCAGCAGAAGTGAACGCCATGACACGTGACGTGAAAATGTTTGAGTTTTGCGCAAACCAAAACTGCACACATATTCCACCAATCATTAAGCAAAGATTGCAGATTTAACCAACCAATCATTGACCGAAAACTCAACCAATCATGTTGCAGAACTGCAACCAAAAAACCAACAAAATACCCGTGACAGGCTGCACATAGTTCACTGCTCTTGAGCTAGCCCCAAAAAATCAGCTGGCCCCGGCGTAACTTGTTACGTCGTCGGTCACATCGGAAGGCGGTAGTTGGGCATCAAGTAAAAATGGTA